GTGGCTAAGGTCAACACTTTGATTAGGCCTGATGGAGAGAAGAAGGCCTATGTTCGACTTGCTCCTGACTATGATGCTTTGGATGTTGCCAACAAAATTGGGATCATCTAAACTGAGTCCAGCGGGCTAATTCTAAATGTAATAAATTTTTCTCACCATAAAAAAAAAAAAGATGCAATCCATATTGAAGGCTGTATTCTTTGATCTTCTGCAACAAGTGCTTCAAGTCCTCATTTTTAGCAAGCAAGGTTGTGCCATCTCCAGAATGCAGGTTATGGATGAGTCTCCTTTTGATCCTGATGCCAAACTCCTCTTCATAGAAGTCCAGCTTCTTTAATAATTTGCTCAGCATACAGATTGAATGCACTCATGCACTCACTTCTTAATTTTAAACCTGTAGTGCTCCCTTGCTCTGTTTTCACAACAGCCTCGTATAGGTTTCACATGAGCACAATTAAGTGCTCTGATAGTCCCATTTTTCTCAATGTTATCCATAACTTGTTATGATCCATACAGTCACATGCCTTTGCACAATCAATAAAGCATAAACAGACATTCTTCTGGTATTCTTTATTTTTATCAAGGATCCATCTGACATTAGCAGTGCTGCCATGGCCTCTTCTAAATCCTGCTTGAACTTCTGGCAGTTCCCTATCTATGTACTGTTCAAGCCGTTTTTGAATGATCTTCAGCAGTATTTTGCTTGCATGTAATAGCAATAATATTGTTTGTTAATTTCCACACTCTATTGGATCACCTTTCTTGGGAATGGGGACAAATATGGATCTCTTCCAATCTGTTGGCCAGATAAAACTAGGCATTAGTTAGATGAGATAGACCAGCTTTGGCCACATTAAATCAGATAATCATATGGCATACTATTCTGGGAATGAAAATCAGAAAAAGATTGGTGTTGTATTCATAGTCAAAAAGTCAATTTCAAATTCCATCCTGAAGTACAATGTTGTGAGTGAAAGGATATTTTCCATATGCAAACAAGGATGACCCATTAATATGGCTATTATTCAAATATACACTCCTACATCTAGAGATAAAGAGAAAAAAATGGAAAATTTTTACCAAATCTTGCAATCTGAAATTGACTAAACATACAAGCAAGGTGCATTAGTGATAACTGGTGACTGGAATACAAAAGTGGGAAACAGTGAAGAAGGAATAGTTGGAAAATATGGGATTGGTGATAGAAATGAAGCTGGAAATAGAATGATTGAATTTTATATTTTCAATTATTTTTTTCATTGCAAATACTTTTTTTTAGAAGACACAAGTGATGACTTTACATGTGGATCTCACCTGATGGGACTTTGCAACAATGAATGAATAGAATTC